TCTAACGGCAGGTGGCTGCGAATGGCTAGGCGAGCGTGGGCGTCACGAGTTTGCCACTGGGAGCGAGCGGTACTGTCAGCAGTGTCAGCAGGCGCTAGAGCGGTTCCGGATGCGTGGTCATACAGCGAGACATCGTCCTTAGCGGTGATCTGGAGGAACAGATGCAGATCGTCAAGCCAAGCTTCAAACTGGAGCGGACGGCCCTCAGCATCGAAAGTGAGAACTGTGGGAGAGGCCATAGTGGCAGTAGCAGCAGTAGCAGTAGTAGTAGTAGCAGTAAGAGCAGTAGCAATAGCAGCTGTAGTGAGAAGAACAGCTGTAACAGCAGGAACAGGAACAGCAGGTGCTGCAGGTGGGGCGGCGCGGCTCGGGCGGCGCGGCTCGGGCAGGTAGGGCGGCTCGACGGCGGGCCCGTGCTCTGTGCGTGGCGGCGCCTAGGGTGCAGCTGCGCGCAGACCGCGGCTGGGTTTGTGCTGCAGCTAAGCGCAACCTGCAGCAGCCGAAGCGCGACCGCCACTGCGCGTGGGCTGCGACCTGCGGGCGGGCGGCGGTGGGTCGTGCGCCATCCTAGGGGCGAGCCCTCGAGCGTGGGCTGCAGTCGCGCGCGGGCAGCGGCCTACGAAAGCAGGGGAGGCGGCCTACAAAAGCGACGCGGCTGCCTACGGGCGGGGCTGCGTCGCACTGGAAGGGCCGCCGGGCCGGTCGACGGGCGGCTAACGGGCTGCTCGTGGGCGGTGCTAGTCGCGTGGGCAGCCTACGGTCGTCGCGTGCGCGGTTCGGGCCTTGCACGGGTGGCTAACGGGCAGCGCACGCCAGAGAAAACAGGACGCGCGCGGGCAGCTAGCGAGCTGCGCACGTGTAAGAGAGAGGCGCACGAGGGCGCACTAGGAGAGAAACGCACAAGGGCGTGACGGCGAGAAGGCGCTCGAGGGCGCTATTAGCGGAAGCGGTCCTAGGTTCCTAACCTAGGCTCGTAATAACATGTTAGAGTGAGAGAAGTGGTTGGACTAGGAAGATCGAGAGTACAAGTAAGAAAAGCTAGAATTGTGTACCCCCTAAGGCTAAACCCACTATAGCCTACATAACTATAACATATATAATGTTTGACGCAACCCTTCGTTTGAGTTCGCTGTGTCAGAATCCCAACCACTAGACCATTGGGATAAAAGGGCTTGTTTCAGTAGCGGGTCAGTGCGCCGATAACCCCCCAGGCGAACGCGCCTGTAACCCTCTCCAGGATCAATCGGGCATCCACAGTGCAGATCTACTGACACCCCCCCACACTGGGAGGCCCAGGACTAAGCACAGCGGCAACGGCCTACTTGTGCATACACCGGGAATCGAACCCAAGACCGCTCTGATACCATGTCAGAATCCCAACCACTAGATCATTGGGATAAAAGAGCTTGTTTCAATAGCGGGTCAGTGCGCCCATAACCCCCCAGGCGAACGCGCCTATAACCCTCTCCAGGATCAATCGGGCATCCACAGTGCAGATCTACTGACACGCTGCTGCGTCTGCCCTAGTTGCTGAGCTTGTTGACTTTGCTGCTGCGTGTTGTCTCGACTACGCCGCTAGTCTTGTTGCTGAGTCTTAGTCAGACTGTCCTCCGTCCGTCGGGGGTGAGTGTGCTCTTGGCACGGACGTCCTTGAAGACATGTAGGAGGACTTTGAGTGTCTTGCAGCTGCAGTACCTCATCTCGTGGCCATGCTGCTTGCACATGAGGGAGACTCGGATGCAATGGACATCCCGATCCCGCGCTCTTACGCAGAGGCGATTACAGGTCCCTACTCCTCTCAGTGGCAGACAACCATGGACGCAAAGATGGCATCCTGGAAGTCCTAAGGCACTTACGTCGACGCAGTTCCCCCTCCTAGGGCGAACATCGTCGATGGCATGTGGATTTTGAGGGTCAAGCGGCTGCCGCGCTTTCTGCCTGTTTTCAAGGCTCGTTACGTTGCACGAGGCTTTAGTCAGTGACAGGGAGTTCACTTCTTCAAGACCTTCTCCCCTACCCCAAAGATGACTGGGTACCCAGTGAGAAGTTCCACTGGGTCGTTTCCTACAGGTACCCAGTGGAGCATCTCGCGGCCAGTCTACGGTTTCTGCCAGGCGCCTCGTGAGTGGCACGACACGCTGAGGACGACAATTGCGGCTCTTGGGTTTGCTCCTTCGACTGCTGACCCGTCGCTATTCCGCGCACCGACACCTCGTTGCCACCGTTCTTAATCCTCGTGTACGTCGACGACTTGGTATTTGCCACTGCTGACACTGAGGCACTGGCCCTTGTGAAGTCGGAGCTGCAGAAGAGACACATTTGCACAAACCTGGGAGAGTTGGGCAACTATCTTGGCTTGCAGATCATCCGGGATGGAGCACGGCGCACCATCACCCTGACTCAGTCACACATGGTGCACCAGGTCTTTGAGCGCTTCGACTTCCGGTTCTCCTCGCCACAGTCCACTCCTCTGTCTACCAGTCACTCGCTCTCAGCTCCACATTCGGACAAGTCCGTAGAGCCAAGTTGCCTGTATCCAGAGCTTGTAGGCTACACTCGATCTGACCTTGCCTACCCTCTTAGCATCCAGGCACGCTAGATTGCGCCCGGGACACACCGACCAGAGCACTGGGAGGCCGCTAAGAGGGTGTTGCGCTACTTGTGCTGTACATCGGGCATGGGGCTCGTGCTTGGAGGACGGGGTCCAGTTGTCCTCATTAGACCCGCAGACGCGTCTTGGGTTGACGACTTGGCTACGCAGCGGTCGTCACAAGGTTACACTTTCAGCCTTGGCTCCGGCTCTATCGTCTTCTGTTCTCAAATCCGGTTGTGAGGCTGAGATCTACGAAGGGGCCATGGCTGCACAAGATTTATGCTGGCTCACCTACCTGCTGGTCGACTTGGTAGAGCGGCCTAGTTCTCCTCCACTTCTGTACGTAGACAACAAGGCCATGATTGCCTTATGTTAGGAGCACAGACTGGAACACATGACGAAGCAAATCGCTCTGCGTTACTTCCTTGCTCGATAGTTGCAGCAGCGTGGTCAGCTTCGTCTTGCGTACGTCGCCACTTGGGCCAACACTGCTTATATATTCACCAAGGCACTTCAGCCTCGTGATCATCAGTGTTTCTGTACTGCTTTAGGCCTTGTGCGAGCTTTGTCTCACTTGCTCACTTCGTGACTTTGCTTGTGCTGTAATCTATATACATATACCTGCATGCATACACTTGCTAGGATATGATCACTGCACTTTTTGTTCTCTTTTATATAACTTTGCATGTGAACTGGTATTGTGGCCATTTGCTTGTGCTCAGAATGTGTGGTGACTTTGTGATCCACCTTGAGCTTGCTTTGGTTTTCTTGACTGGTCTTATGACCACTTGTTGTCCCCCACTTTGCCTATGGGGGTGTGTCAAACTGTTATAATGTTTATACCGGTATTGTATAGGCTGTAGTAGAGTAACCCATAAGTGGTACAACTTAATTAGGGTTAGTACTTGTACTCAGTTTCTTGTCAATGCATTGATCCTCGTTCAGTTTCTTGACACTGGTTTCGAAAAAATCGTTCAAAACACATACCATGTCATGTTCACGACTCATACTGCCTGGCAATTCTGACATGTGTCAGTTTGTTACGCAAACAAAAACTCAAACCCAATCTGAAAGGGATGCGGCACGGGGAGGCATCAACCCTAAACACCAGGTGGGTTCTAGTGTTTAGGGTTGTCTAGGGATTTTATTTTTTCCGGGTTGCCCTGTCAGTTTGAGCTTGGAAAAGTAAAATTTATTGCTGAAAAAGGGACACATGTCAAAAAAAATTGCCTGCAGTACCAAATTTGAACATAATGTGGGAGGTCGCGTGAACGAAATCGCACTGATTGAGTAAGGGCGTATCTTTGGTTTGGGTCATAAGGCCACTTTGGGTCATGCGCATTTTCCACATGACCCAAACAGCACAAAACTCCACCTTATCCGTGCTTCAGAAGGCCACTTTGGGTCATGCGTGATTTCCGCATGACCCAAACAGTAGGATGAACCGTGCCATGACCCAAACCAAAGATACGCCCTAAACCTTGTAACTAAACATGAGAGAATCCTAAAACCATAGTAGCCAGCATATACTTTCCCAAAAGAAACGGCTAATGTAGATGTGCCTGATTTGAGAGACTCGTGAGACTACAACGGCTATGAGTGAAGGGAGCAGCTCGCGTCGCGGCAGAGGAATGAAGTAGAAATGTCGATGCGACAATGAGCCGGCCCAGCAAAAGCAACTCAGCAATGTACCGTCTGACGGCAGCCTTCCCGCCAGATGGCAGGCACTACTGGCAATCCAAAAATTGTGTGTTGAGCCACTCAAAATAACATCCTGAAGATTCCAAGGCACTCAAGCGGATTTCTCTTGACGGGTCATCCAAAATTTTTATCAGGAAAAACCTCGCTGCTATGGCATGCTGTTTCCTGAACCTTGAATTTGGACTGGGTTTTGGGTGCCCTTTCCCACCTGGAAACCCGCTGCTTTCTGAAAAATGAACCAAACTTTATTTGGACTTCAATCGCCCAGTCAAAACAGTTCTGAGCGACTGAGGGGAATCACGCGTCTCATAAACTGTTGTCTCACACTCTGACCGCGTACCAGATTTTTGCAGACATGCTGTTGTAGATCAGCAGACCCTACAACTGAAATCTCTCGCCCGCGATCGTCGCGCGCTTCGACCAGCCGGCATCCCACGACGCCGCGTCGTGGTCAACCAATCACTCAACTCTCCGAAACGACGGACTGCAGGTGGTGAGTGAGGTGCAACTTAGACTCTCTCCGAGTACAAAGCAGCGGCGACTTCAGGCATGGACTCATATTTTCAAAGCCATCTCTCCTGTAGAAACTTCGATCTTCACTATCCTCAAACAGCTGCCGCCACTCTGCAGAGCAATCACCGTGACGAGGGGGTCACGGCGGCAGCCCGCCCCGCAAGACCCAGCGTGGTGTGTTGACGTGTCAGCCATGACCGTCCATCATGCGTCGGCGCTACTCGTAGCGGCCATGGCGGCTCTTCTCCTTTGCTCCGCAGCACTGCCAGCGGCAGCGGACGCGTCCGTCATGTTCCGCTCTTCCCGCCGCCTCACAACATCCCATAGCCTCGGTCTGCTCGCCCTTCCGCAATCGTGGTTTTCTGGTGCGCAGCAGGCGGAACGCTCGCTGGTCGAGCAGGCCGGAGGCGGCGCAGGCGTCGTGCAAGGACCCACCGACGGCGCAGGCGAAGCACCTGGAGGCAGCGGAGCGACAGACCAAGGGCCCACCGGCGGCGCAGGCGAGGTGGTCACCAACCATGGACCCCCCGACACCGGCGCTGGCGGTGTTGGCGGCGCCGGCGCCTCCGAAGGTCTCGCTGACGCTGGCGGCGGAGGCAGCGCAGAGACGAACCAAGGGCCCACCGACGCAAGCGCAGGAGCAGGAGCAGACGCAGGGGCAGACGCAGGCGCAGGAGCAGGCGCAGGCGCAGGTGCTGGCGCAGGCGGCAGCCCCGGTGACCAAGCACCCGCCGACGCGGGAAGCCCAGTCGCCAATCAAGGCCCCACCGACGCCGGCCAGCCTGATGCTGCCGCGGCGCATGGCGGAAATCGAGCGGAGCCATCGTCGGGAGTGCGCATGCGGGACTTGGTGGTGTGGCGGGCCACTAAGTTCCAGCTGAAGGCGCGCGAAGCCCAAGGGCACATGGCGGCCGGCAAGGCCGCGGCGGCCGTGGCGCATTTGCGCGCTTCGGCGTTGGAAAATGCGACAGGCGCGGAGGATTGGTCCGGCATGGCGCACAGCTGCGTGGATCAGGTGAGACGACCACTTTTGAAAGTGGATCTGAAGTTCAGTTCAGACTCGATGGTTCCAGATCATGCACTGCATTCAATGTGATCCCTCCCGCTGAAGTAGTACTATGTGATCCGTGACGGAGGGGCCCTAACACCGCGTGCGTGGTGTGCGGCGTGGCGTGGTGTGGCAGATGGCGTTGGTGTCGGAGAGCGTGGAGGAGGCAGCGGGGATGATGGAGAGCGGCGGCGAGGACGTGAATCTGCCGCGCATCCACCTCTCCAACGCCGTCACGCTCGCGCTCGACTGCGCCGAGGGCTTCGACCTCTTCGCGCCGGGCAGCTCCAGCGACCCTCGCGTCAAGGCCCTGCAGGTGCGTGCCCCGCCCCTGCTGCTGCTCGCTGCGCACGGCACCACCGCCTGCCGTCGCTTGATCGACTTGCCTCTTTCCATTATTCGTAAGGTACTCATGGTCATGTTGCACGCGGCTGTGCTGGTGTGCGTTTGTGCGTGCAGGAGGCAGCAATGGACGCTCGGGCGTCGGTGATGGAGGCGCTGGGGCGAGCAGCGGACATGGCGGACATGATCGCAGCAGGCGACAACACTGCTGCTGCCGCCACCGCCGTGCCTTCGCCCTCGCCCACTCGCCGCCGCCTGCTGCAAACCACCGGCGCAGGCACGGGCACTGCCACCTCGGTGGCCGACCCCCACAACTCCATCCCCGACACCAGCACTACTGGCACTCTCGGCAGCACTACTGGCAATCCGGGCATCATGCCCGGCTCTGGCAGCGACACCTCAGCCAACAACACTGCTGGGGTCCCTGGCGTGCCCTTTAACACCACCGGCTGGATGCACCCTGGCGGCCCCAGCCCTCCCCCGCCACCGTCCCCTCCTCCCTCTCCCCCTCCTTCTCCGCCTCCCTCTCCCCCTCCTCCTTCCCCCCCCCCCCCCCTCCCCCCCCTCCCCCTTCCCCTCCCCCTCCCTCTCCCCCTCCGCCATCCCCTCCCCCTCCCTCCCCTCCCCCTTCCCCGCCCCCATCTCCTCCGCCGCCTCCCCCACCTCCCGCCCCGCGCATCACTCCCACGGTCACCGTGGCACAGGATGGTTCCGGAAACTTCACCACCGTGCAGGTGCGTGTGAGAGAGTATGCGAATGCGTGTGTATGCTTGCAGGAGAGCCGCATTTTCCCTCATCGCGTGCCATTCCTCACTGCGTGTCTTGGCCTCGCCCTTACTGCGTGCCATTCCTCACTCCCCTGGGGCGAGCAGGCGGCGATCAGGGCGTATCCTCCGGGGTTCAGGGGGCGCTTTGTGGTGTTCATCCGGCCGGGCTTTTACCGTGAGAAGGTGGCCATCAACTCCACCTGCAAGAACGTCACGCTGCTGGGGCTTGGCGCTTCCTCCACTGTCATCTCATGGCTCGACAATGCCACAGCCGGCATTGGCACCTTCCAGACCCCCACCGTCGGTAAGCAACGACCCACGCTCCCTCGCTCCTCCTTCCTGCCTCGCTCCTCTCCTCTCCCTGTTGCTGTTTGTGCTTCTCCACTGCTCCCTCCACCTTATTGCTGGAAGTCCTCCCTGTTGCTGTGCTCTCTATTTCCACCTTATCCCCTCTCTTCCTGCCCCCCTCTCCAACTCTTTCTCTCTCTTATTCTCTGTCCCTCCTCAGCTGTGGACGCCAGTGGCTTTGCAGCAATCGGCATTCGCTTTGAGAACACCGCGGGGAAGGCTGGGAACCAGGCAGTGGCGTTCAGGCAGACGGGCGACAACGCGGCCTTCTACGAGTGCGAGTTCCTCGGGTGGCAGGACACGCTGTACGTGCACGGTGGGCGGCAGTACTACCGCAACTGCTACGTGAACGGGACAGTGGATTTCGTCTTTGGCAACGGTGCGGCCGTGCTGGAGAACTGCACGTTTGTCATTCGCTCGCACAGCAATGCGCCGCTCACAGCATCAGGGAGAACCAACTACACGGAGAACACGGGCATCGTGATCCTCAACTCCGTTATCAAGGGTGACCTTGTCAACAAGACGTACCTCGGCCGCCCCTGGAGGCCCTACGCACGTGTGGCTGTCATCAACACCACAATCAGCAACGTGGTACGTTCTCCTCTCCCTCCCTCGCTTCCCCTCTTTGTTCTGCAGTCTCCTTTTCTCCCGTGCCACGACCATTGCACATCCTCACCCCTCATCGCAACTTCTCACTCGCTGTTTTTGTGCCCTCCCTTCAGCTGAATACAAGTGGGTGGCTGGACTGGGGGGGTGTAGTGTACAATACTTCTACGTTCATCGAGCAGGGCAACAGTGGGCCGGGGTCGGTGGGGCCGCGCATAGCATGGGCAGCGCCGGGCATCGTGACTGACCCTGCCCAGGTCGCCATGTACTACCCCAACAGCTTCCTCGCCCCCTTCTCCACCATCGCCAACCTCATTCCCTTCCCCTGGCTCTAGATTTCCCCTCACCCTGCCACGCCACCACTTCTCCTGTGTTGGAGGTTCTTACGTTCAGTGCCTAAATCATCAGCAAACTTAGGCACCTCCTTTGGATGAGTTATGTTTAGTTTTCATTGGTTGCTTGTAGCTGCACTATGGTAGCCTTGTATGAGGAGGAGCAACGTACCGTTAGCACCTGTGACCATTGTTTTTTAGCGATCGGTCTTGTTTGCTTCTGTGTTGGTTATATCAAATGTTTGCATTTCGGCAGTACATTGCATACCCCATGTGCTTCATAAACCATTAGTCTATTGATGTGGCAAGTCACATAAACCAGCCAGCTGCCCTAAAACATTTCCACACGCCATTATTTCCCTGTTTATTTTCAGACTAACCAACCAGGGTGTTCAAGCCACTTTAGATGACCATCCATGAATCCATGAATGGAGATTTTGTTAAAACGAGAGAACAGGAATGAGTGGATTAGACATATAGGGTGATACAAATGTGGAACCCTGATGGGTGTCAAGACATATATGTTTGTATTTATGTAGGCTGTATGGGGGTTAACACTAGGGGGTACAAAACTTTTCTCGACATTGTTCTTGTCCCCCCTCCTTTCACCTAGTCAACATCATTCCTTCCTAATTTCAGCATGGCATTATGAGCAGTTAGGTCTTTAGGACCGTTTTTTAAGAGGGCTGTCAAAAGGAAGCTAGGCCTTGGCAGACATAGGAGCCATAGCTACGAAATCACGGCAGTTACGAGAGGGAAGGGAGAAGCGATAGTTGGCCAACAAAAGAGGTGTTTCAGTAGAGGGTTTGAAGTACAAATAGGGAAGAAGCAAAAGGTGCACCACCAGCAGTTGATAATAATAACCACACTAAACTACAGCAAGTAGGATATAACATAAACATAGCTTTGACACACCCCCTTATCCTGCTTGCGGTAGGAATTAGTGCAGTCAACACCCCCTGAAGGGGTGAACAAGGTGCAGCGGTAGACGTCAGAAGGTGTAAGTGAGGGAAACGAGGCGAGAAAGGGAGAGGAGAGGAGAGGAGTACTGAGGGGAAGGTAAGAGAGAGAGGGATGAGGAGAGGAGGTGGGGGGTGGCTGTGGCGAGACGGGACGGAACGGGAGGCCACGACGTCCCCGCTTACGAACCCCCTTTTACAAAGGGGGGGGGAGGAGTGGGGGAAACGGAGAGAAGGTGGGGGGCCATGCATGAATGTACGAACTTCATGCCTGCGATCCCTCGTAATAACCTTCAGCACTCAACTCAACCACCCCCCTTTAATCTCACCCCCTGAATCTGCCATCCTATCAATTCTCACCCTCACCCTCCTTTCACCTTCACATACCCGCCACCCTCTTATCACCCCCCCCGCCACCCCCTCATCTCACTGCCCACCATTAGTTCCTCCCATTTCACTACCCGAATCGCGCCCCTAGGGCGCGTCGACTTTTGTTGTTTTTGTTTGTTTTTGTTTTTTTTTTTCTGCTCACAACGAGCCCCGCGCGATGCCTTATGCAGTGCCTTACAGCCCACACGAACCCCGATCCCCTGCGCCCACGAGTGCCCCGCTGCCCAGCGCTTACGCGCGCCCTGCTGCCATGTGCCCTGCTGCCGCGCGCAGCCCGTACAACCCGCTTCAGGCCCGCACGCAGCCTGTACAGCCCGTGCCAGGCCCATGCGCAACCCGTACAGCCCGCGCGCACCTGCCCTGCCCCACGTGTCAGCCCTGCGCTGCCCGCGAGCGCCTGCCCTGCGCTCCGCCGGCGACCTGCGAGCTGCCCGTGCACTGCCCTGTGCGCGCTCTGCCAAGCCGCAGCTGCTGCCTGCTGCTGCCGCCACTACTGCTGGCTGCTGCCGCTGCTGCTACCGGCCACTGCCACTGCTGCTGCCGGCCGCTGCCACTGCTGCCCTGCTTGCACGCGCTGCTCAGCGCTGCCCTGCCCTGCCTGGCCACCGCCAGCGCTGCCCTGCTACCGCCACTGCTGCTGGCCACTGCCACTGCTGCTGCCGGCCGCTACCACTGCTGCCCTGCCTGCCCGCGCTGCTCAGCGCTGCCTTGCCCTGCCCTGCCTGGCCGCCGCCAACGCTGCCCTGCTACCGCCACTACTGCCAGCCACTGCCACTACTGCTGCGGGCCGCTGCCACTGCTGCCCTGCCTACACGCGCTGTTCAGCGCTGCCCTGCTCTGCCTGGCTGCCGCCAGCGCTGCCCTGCTGCCGCTACTGCTGCCGGCCACCGCCTCTGCTGCCGCCACTGCTGCTCGCCGCTGCCACTGCCATTGGTGCACCTCCAGCTAGCGCCCTGTCCTGCCTTGCTTGCGCGCCTGCTGCTGCTACTGCCGCTGCCGCCCTCGCTACCACCTGCGCGCACTCCTACAGTTGCTACCGCTATTGCACCTAGCACTGCTGCCACTGCACCTTCCGTTCCAGCTATTGCCGTTGCAGTCGCTACTTCAGCCCTTAAGCCGCTATTGCTGACTGACACTGCCAACCATGGCCACTACCACTGTCCTGCGTTAGTGGCAGCTGAGTGTGCCGGAGTCTCTCTCGCCGCAGCAGCTTCGCGAATGGGCTATCTGGTGGGGCAGCCCTGGTGGCGGAGCTAGCTGTGCTCGTCGGTGGAAGCTGCTTACGCCACAGCAGTGTCGTGAGTAGGCGGTCCGGTGGGGCAGCCCCGCTGGAGGAGCCTGGGGTGCTACTACTGGAGGTACCTATGAGTCTACTCCTGCTAGTAGTCCTGGGTAAACGTGGAGGTTCTGGGGGTGGACAGCAGTGGCAGCAGCGTCCGTCGGAGACTCTCTCACCGCAGCAGCTTTTTGAGTGGGCTGTCCAGTGGGGCAGCCCCGGTGGCGGAGCTTGGGGTACTAGTGCTGGGGGTGGAGAGGCACCTCGTGGTGTAGAGGCTACTAGTCTAGGTGCTTGTGACTCAGCTAGCACAGGTGCAGAGTCTGAGGAGGCCTTACACACTTTTCTACTCGACTCAGGTGCGTCTCGCTGCTTCTTCCGCGACTGCACCACAGTCACACCGCTCACAGCCCCTGTCCCTGGCACTCTGGCCGACCCCTCTTGTGGCTCACTTGTTGCACTCCATTGTTCTCCCGTGTCCCTCAGCCCCCTCCGGTTCCCTCACAGGTTTCCACCCCCCCTCATTCACTAGGAACTTAGTGGCTACAACTGTTCTACTAGACAAGTTTGTCACTGTTACCCAGCCTGGGGGAGAGCTCGTGACGATCTGTACGGACTCACGCACAAGTGAGCACCTCGCCACGTTCACTCGGAGGCCCGGGTCTGGTTTGTACACACTGACCACTGAGTCCGCACAGGTGGCTCAGTCAGGTCAGGTAGCTGCGGTGCTTGAGGTAGCTGCGCCTTGTTTGTGTCGTCTCCTCACGCACCAGAATCTCCTCTGGCACCACCGTCTTGGTCACCCCTCCTTGCCACGCCTGCAGGCATGCACTCCCATCTCCTTGTGTCTGGCCTCCCCAGGTCCCTGCCCCTGCTCCTTAGGTCGTTTGCGCCGCCGTGCCTTCCCTGCATCGAGGGGCGGCAGCGCGCCGCTCCTCACTCCTCCTCGTTTCCTCCGACCACAGCTCCTCTGCAGACCCTCCACATGGACGTGTAGGGTCCAGCCCGCGTCACTAGACATGGCGGAGAGCGCTAATTTTTGTTGGTTGTTGACGAGTACATGTGCTACACCACCGTCTTCCCATTGTAGAGAAAGGTGGATGTCCGCCGTGTGTTGATCCGCTGGATCCGTGTTGTCCGTCGCCAGCTCAGCGCTCGGTTCCGGTAGGACCTCCCGGTCCTGCGGCTCCACTCTGACCGAGGTGGTGAGTTTTGCTCCCACCTCCTCGAGGACTTCTGTGGTGCTGAGGGCATCCGCCAGTCGTTCACGCTTCCGGCCTCTCCGCGGCAGAATGGGATTGCAGAGCGTCGCATTGGCTTGGTCATGGAGGTTGCTCGCACCTCCATGATCCATGCGGCTGCTCCCCATTTTCTGTGGCCGTTTGCGGTCCGATACTTCGCTGAGCAGCTCAACCTCTGGCCCCGTGTCTCCCACCCGGAGACCTCCCTTACTCTGCGGTGGATGGGAGAGGCTGGTGATGCGTCGGTGTTTCGGGTACGGGGTTCCTTTGCTCTTGTCCGCGATCTTCCCGCAGGCAAGTTTTCTCCTTGCACTCTTTGCTGCGTCTTCCTTGGCTTCCCTACCGACGCCCCGCCTTGGCAGTTTTACCACCCGGGTTCTCGTCGTGTTCTCTCCTATCAGGACGTCATCTTTGACGAGCCTCTCTGCTTCTACCGTCTCCACCCCCACCGCAGTTCCCCCGTGCCCCTCCCGCTTCTCTTCCTGGTACCCGGCCCCCCCAAGGTAGCCCCCCTCTCCCCATAGGGTCCTGCTCCCTCAGGTGTGTTCAGGTAGACCCACCCCCCTTGGTTGGGCATTTGGAGGTCTCCTCTGACACCTCTGGCCCAACTAAGGGGGGTGACCAGACTGCTGCCGACACTGTGGCCCCTCGCCGCTCAGCGCGCTTGGCGGCCCCTCCTGGGTTTCCGCCTCGGCCGTCTTCACCACCTCTGCAGCCAGTCGGTGTGGACTGTGGTGCTGCTGGAGGTGGTGACACTGGGGATGCGGACTCTGGGGGTGCTGACTATCCTACGGGTACAGGAGGAGCTAGAGGTGCTGTAGTTGGAGCTGCTGAAGGTGCTGTTGCTGGTGGTACTGGAGTTGGAGGTGCTGGAGGTTCGGGGGCTGTTGGTGCTGGAGCTGCTGATGCTAGAGGTGCTAGAGCTGGAGGTGCTGGAGGTACTGGAGCCGCTGGTACTGGAGGTGCTAGAGCTAGAGGTACTGGAGGTACTGGAGTTGCTGGTGCTAGAGGTACTGGGGCTGCTGGTGCTGGAGGTACTGGAGCTGCTGGTGCTGGAGGTGCTAGAGCTGGAGGTGCTGGAGGTACTAGAGCTGCTGATGGTAGAGGTGCTAGCGGTAGAGGTACTGGAGGTTCTAA